CAGGAATGTAACTAAGATAAGAGAACTTAACTGATAACTGATTTTTTTAACTGATTTTTTTTTTTTTTTTGTGAATGTAGTACTGTAATTTATTAACAAACTATGGGTATAGTTTTAGAAAACACATTTAGAATGCAAGCAAGTTACTGTGGAAAGTTTTCTGCAGTATAAAGAATAGTCCTTAACTTTTAACTTCCCTGACTTAACTCTATATTTAAGCAAATTTACTGCTTTTTTCAATATAAGTTCGTATGTTTTGAATTAAATTAAATTAATGACACATTTTTTATGGCTAAGGCAGGGTTTTTTCTCATCCCAAATGTATTTTCAAATAGCTGACAAAGCGTTTGAAGCACTAAAACCACAGAAATCATTACACTTACTAATAGATTTTAAGACTATGTAAACAGTGGCTTAGATCAAGTCTATAGCCCAGCCGCTTCCCTCTTCTTCCAGCTAGTGTGCGACCTTTTTCTAGTGAACCTCTGGAGGGACAGTTTGAGCAGTGATGCCTGTCTGTGCAGTTTGCTGCTTTGCCTGGATGTGTGAGCAGCTCTGTTGGACGTGGCAGTTCTGACTTTTGCTGCACCTCGGGGCCAGGGCAGGGCAGAGGAAGCCTGTCTCCCCCACAGGCAAGACATGGGGCCTGGCGTTGTCATTACAGGTTCTGATAGGAGCGTCTCCAAACTGGACACCAGCTGCCACAGCTGCAAGACACTGACTAGATTTTAGATCTACAAAATGTGCACTTTGAGTCCTCTGGCATTTTCTATCCAAAGGCTAAATTTGATGCAATTCTTAGGGAAAAAAACCAAACAAAAACACTGGGAATTAATTTTTGTTTAAATATGCAACTGATTAAGAATCAAATAGTACTAATGAGCTAGAATTACTACACCCACTCAGAATAAGGGATGCTGCACAGTCCCACTGTTACACAGTATCTGTAAAAAGCCTGGTTTACTGTTCTGAAGTATCTAATACTGATTTGATCTTCTCATGCCTAACTTAAGGGTATGCACGGCAGAAATGTTAGAACTGTTGAGCATTAACATGTCCAGAATGCTTATACCATGCTTGATTGTGTTTACTGAAGTTCTCCTACTGAGCTTTTCCTGATAGCTCCAAAGCCCTTAGTTATTGTGAGAAGCATCTTGTGTGTCTTGGCATGTGTACTAGTAGGAATACTATTGCCTGGAATACTAGGCCAGTTCCAGGAAAGAAGTCTGCTTGGGGCAGCAATCCAGATTTCCTTATACCCAGCACTAAGGGACACAGTCTTTGGCTGTGAATGGAATGATCATTGTCAGCTGGTTCCACCAGAGGGCTGAGATGGTGAGACAAGCCATTGCACTTCAAGTGAGGTACAAAAGGAAAAAGGAACATTGGTCTGTTCTGGATGTGTGTACGAGTAAAGCAGAAAGTCTGATTTATCTGCTTGTACTTACTCCTAACCAGTGGCAGACGCTGGTTAGAAGAGTAAAAGCCACAGCAAATCGTGGTTTATTTTAATTTTTTGATACCCAAGCTTAATTTACTATATGCTACAGACTGAAGTAATCATTTTAAGTGATAAGCAACTATTATTGTGTTCATGTTGCATAGAACAAACAGATGGAGATGTAAATAGAATTTCAGACTGTTCTTGAGCAGTGTTTCATATATGTGTAGGGGAAAAAATGATTTTTAGTTTGCTCAAAGAAACCATTTCTGAAGGAGAAAGTGGTGCTATCTGTACAACATCTGATAGTAATAATATTGATGAAAAGCTAATAATGCAAACAACCAATTAACGATTAAGTGCAAAGAAATAAAAACGAGGACAAGATCCGTATTGCAGCACAGCAGTAAGATTCAAATCCTGCTGCACACACTTTGTTGTTAATGTTACACGTTTTATAATCAGGAATGTTTTTACGTTCTGTAGAGTGAGTAGTTTCTAAGATCTCGAATTACCACAAAATCTGTTTGATAACCTTTAAATTCTACATTTCGGTACAGAGATTTTAGTTTTTATCTGTACTATGAATGTTCTGTTTGAAATGACTGGCTGTATTTGTACCACAGCAGGCAAAATTGTGAGAAAAATAGTTTAACATTTGATAGTTAAAAGATGTGAGTTTCCTCTTACCTCTGCTTTCAAATATGGACACACGCAACTGAATTTATGAATTCACAAATAAGATTTTTAATAAGTACTCATAAATACTCAATTGATCAGAACTTTTTTAAATTATCAAAAAATCTGATTAAATTATCATATTATATACAATAATCATACCTGATTATTTCATTCATAAAATGTGATGTAGATTAGATTGCTAATTACATTTATTTTTCCCAATTTTCCTGTCCTTTTCATCCTGCATGATACACTCATGGTGATTGCTGTATGCAAATTCCTAGCACAGCTGCACTGAAGGTGGTTCAGAGTTGTTTCACTGACCTCAGCAACAACTTCATCAGACCCTCACCCTGTCTCATCTTCATTGTGTTGAAGGACTGAGCAGCCATTTTACCATAGTAGTGATCCTCTAGAATTGGTGTGAGACTTCCTGTTTATCTGTGCCGGTGCTAACCCTGCCCTATATATATTTACATTTGTATTTATACTCTCTCAAAAAAAAAAGAAAAAAATTCTCTGAAGCTGCTCTTACGTTCTTTTCACAAGCACTACATGACTTTCAGGTGCAGTTTTGCACAAAAAATCTTTGTTCATTTAAACATTAGAAAAGTTATAATAATCATAAAATCATAGAATCGTTTAGGTTGGAAAACACCTTTAAGATCATTGAGTCCAACTGTAATTGACAGAATTTCTTTTTCATGTCTTGAGTTCAATGTGACCATTTTAAAAATTCATTGCACCTTTCATTTTAGGGTATTTTATGTTCTGGAGGTTAGTGTTATATAAAGTAACTCCTTACTAGGTATCGGAGAGGAGTAGATGTCAGCAAGACTCCCTTTCTGGTCAGTACCATGCATACAACTAAAGGTGTGTGGAAAAGATGGTGTCAGATGAAACTGGTCCTTCAGAGAAGACTTTTTCACAGATAACAACGTCATTTACATTCACTGTAGTGTTTTTAACAACGGATGTACATTTTATTTGTAGTAAAAAGTTATGAGTTGTGTGGTGGGAGGTGAGGACTTGCCAAGTTCTTGCCAAGTTGTGGTATTCAGGTGGTCCTTATACATCTACTATCCTTTGGCCTTTATTATCATCATTTCATTCTGCTAAGGGCATGATGTAGCTTTACCTGAAGTCTCCAACTGATGTAGTATGGAAATGTTAACAGAATCCCTGATGTGTGAAATGCTTGAACATGCAATCATATAAATGTGGCTTGTTCCAAAATAGTATCAGTAGCCAATTAGATTACATGCAATGATGCAAATGGTGCTAATAGTCTTGCCTGTTTTCCCTGTACTTCTCCGTCACCCTTTATTGCTGTATCTTCTGAATTCTCCCTTCATTTTCTTTCAACAAAGGCAAGTATGCCATGAGGGATCTGGTCCACCGACTGCCAGGCGCTAACAACAGCAACAGCTCAGCAAGCAAGGCCATGTCTGATGACACCGTTACTGCCATTTGCTGCACTCTGCATGAAGTCATCACTAAAAACATGGAGAATGCCAAGGCCTTACGAGACGCCGGCGGCATTGAGAAACTGGTTGGCATATCTAAGAGTAAAGGAGACAAGTATGTTTTGCAAATCACCTTGCACCTTTTTAACATCTCCAGTAGTTATTACTAGTCCTAAATGTGTTTGCCTCCTCTTTGCAGTCGTGAGTTGAATTCTTTGGTTTCATCAGAAATCACATGCGCAGTTTTGAAAGGTGACAAGAACCAGACAATACCAATAGCAAAAGTTTGTGCTGTGGTTTATTTTGACGTACCATCAGCAGTGCATGGAGTGCACTGCATGTGCAGTTTAAGGAGGAGTAATTATCTATGGTAACCACTGCCTCTAAGCACTTCCAGAAGATCCTGATAAACATTAGGGACCAGAGCTGTTGGATTGCAGCCTGCAGAAGGGGTGACATGCAGGTGGAGGGATCCTGTGAAAGGAAGGGACCTCACTGCAGTTCTGTTACTGCTCCTCTTGCTCCAGGAGTGAAGAATGTAAAGTCTCTGTCCCTCTTCACAGCACCCTTTTCCCTGTCACCAGCTTGCTGGTAAGATGGGGCATAGTAGAAAAATGGATCCATGGATTTTCCTAACACCTTGCTTCTGAGAGAGCGTTAGGATACCTGCAGGCTACTTTGTGAGGCACCAAAACATGCAAAAGTCCTACACACAACTGTGACATTTTCAGAGCAGCTATGGTTTCATCTTGTCTGTTTTCCTATGTACGCACTCTTCATGAAGAGTTCACTCTTTATCCTTCTTTTGCCTAAAACAGATAGCCTGGTTCTCTATTTGTCAACCTGCAGAAGTATAGTGCAATGGGACTATGGCAGTTTGAAAACAAAAAGCCTTCACTGTAGTATACAAAACCCATCAGTCCACCTACTCGAAGCTGTCATCACACAGCCTACTGCAGCATCAGAGCTCTAAAAGAGCCCCACAGAGCCAGGCCACAACCTGAAGGAAAGATTTATGCACCCTACATTTGGTATGAGAACTTATGCTCACCTATGTGATCGGAGCATTTCCAATCTAATTTAGTCACATTTCTTTTCCTCTATTGTCACCCTTTTCTTTTCATACCAAAATCATTATTGAAACATTCTCACGTTCTAATTATAAGGGGTAAAAAGTAGTAGCGTTAACAAAGTATGTAATTGCAGTGGGAGCTCCCCACACTCTGCCAATTTATTTACATTTGCATTTTTATTATTATTAAATATTTTAAAATATTATTTATATTTTCTAGATCAAATGTACTGATATTGCAAGCAGGTTCATATCTATTTCTCTTAAGTTGAATGTGTCTTTCCTCAGAATACTGCATTTGTCTACCTGTTCATTATCTGGTAGAGATTATTAATACCTTTTTGAGTCTGGAATTTTCAAAGTATCATAGGCAGTTTCAGGAAGATCCAAGGGTATAATTCCCTGTCTAAGTGTCTGTCATAACTGTGAAAGACCTGTCTATGTTGGGTTAAAGTATTTAGCTCAGGCAGTGTTGAATAATTCCAAAATGCCCTCCCAAGTCATGATATGTATCCCTCCTCTCAAGTATTTTGGGTTGCAGTCCTGTGGTTATTACTGTTACAGGTTACACAGTTCTAGAACAAGAAAACCTGTCAATTCACAGTGCTACAAATGCCCATCTTAAGTGAAAGTTCCATTTTTCAGCTTTCAGAAGTGTTAGTATTCTGCACTATTGCTTTGATTTGATTTCTTATAGGTAATCCGTTGTTTAACAATCAGAATTGCTGGTTGTTGGACTGATAGGAGATGCTGGCGTGCTCACTTTAAACAATTCGGTATGAATTTATCTTGTCCAGTATGAAGCGTCCGCTTCTACAAGTGCAGGATGCTAGGCTGGCTATGCATCCTGGTATGTATCAGTGCCAGTAGTGTGGGGCTGGCCCTGCTAGCCTTTGGAACGAGCCCAGGCCTTGAGTGCTTTCCCTGTATGTCAGCACGAGAGAACTGGTGTCCATAAGATCATATTGGCCAAGCCCATACTGGCTTTGCATAGTTCCTGTTTCTCCTCAGTACTCCCAATATGGTTGGCGCAATTATTTTCCTGGTTACTCCATGCTACCAGCACCTCACTAGCCGGTACAGCTTGGGAGTATAATAAAGACAATTATGCTTGAAAGCGTTTGTCAAATTGCTGTTTATTCACCAATTACCCACCTACTGCTGTACTCTGGGTGAGAAATGGAAGAAAAGGGGGGGGAAAAGGCACCAAATAAATTACTAGGAAAATACTGTATGAGTTAATTGAATCAGTTGTGTCATGAACATTGCTTTACCAGCTTGAGTGTCAGCCTACCAGTGGTCCTCAGAAGTTACAGGATGCACCAGAGCCTGGCCACTGAGAAGACTTCCTGTGCAAACCAGTAGCATATGCTGCTGATTTTCTGGTTTCTCTTTGGTTTTGCAGTCCATGTGCCTTTTCTGAGTAAAACATGAATCACCTCAGTGACTGCTCTGAGCTCCATCAATCCTCACTCCAGACTTTGGCCTTTGCAAGGTTTTCTAGAGCTCTACTACTTTATGTGTATTATTGGTACAGCACAGTGTATGCTTCCTCAATGGGCTGGGCTATCTTCCCAGTCCTTTTCTGTTTGACCCTTCTTCACTGAGCTGAATATTCTCAGATTTTTTTTTTTTTAACTTTTTTTTTAAAGATACCTATCCCAAGAGGAATATATGACTCCAACTGATTGTAATAATAGTTTAGAGCTTCTTTCAAAATCTTTCTGAAGAGGAAGTCCATGTGAAGTTGTATATGGTTTTCAACATGACATTGTATTTCCATCATTAAAGGGTAATGGTGCAAGCAAGATGCAAGTCCTGATTTGGCTTCCTAATGAAATTTGTCATGATAATCAGTTATAATCAGTTGTATTTCTGCATCTTGGCTCTGCACTTCAAAAACAGTGTTCATCACCCATCTAGAGTGTTTCTTTTGGCCACTGCTAAGAGGCACTTAATGTGTTGAGCTTGCTGTTGAGAACTGCAGTTTGGCAGCTTATAGAGGAAGAAACTGACTCTAACATCTTGTCCTTTATGCCAAAAGTCATAACCAGGAGATCTTCTTAGATGTACACAATACCAGCTGGGTCCTCAACAATTTTGCCAATTGCTACCTCTACTATTCCTCTTACTATGCTCTCAGCGTGCTGAGGAACACACGTTTTGCTTCTCCTGAATAACGAGTACTGTAGAAATAACCTGTATTGCCCTTGCTTAAAAACACATTGGTCTCCAAGATGCCAACCAAAGATAGTATGGTACATTTGAAAGATGCTTTAATTGTGGGTTTTAAGTCCATAGCAATGCATTTGAAAGTTGGGATGAATGGAGCCTTGTACTTAAACAGTCTCTTTCTCACTCTTTCTTTCTCTCTCTCTCCCTTTTTAATATATGTGTGTAACAGGCATTCGCCAAAAGTGGTGAAAGCAGCATCTCAGGTCCTCAATAGTATGTGGCAGTACAGAGACCTGAGAAGTCTCTACAAGAAGGTAAGGCTTGGGGTTTTTCTAGATTTATCATCTTTCATATGGTTACCCAAATTTGGGGGCTGAGAGACTTCAGACCAAAACATTCATGTGACTTGAAATTCACCTAGAGTTTAAAACTTCAGATACTTGGAGCTGTAAGTTTTTCCCTCATTTCTAATTTTAACGTAGAAATACCTTCTGAAATTAAATGTGGTAGTGAAAAGGGGATGTGAACTTAGTTTACAAAAGAATTCATACAAAAAAAGCAGGATCCTACAGCCCTGGAGAGTGAAGTCCTCTGTTCATAGAACAAACCCGTGCAAACTCTCCTACTGTACCTTTCCTTCTTACATCTCGCCACCCTGTCCTGAGGAGATTACCATATTTCCAGCCCTTCAGCTCCCAAATTTCCTCATGAGATTGTAAACAAGAGTATCTGAAGGAGTGGTGCTTAGGGACCAGTTACATGTAAAGCTGGGCTGAAACTTGGTAGCTTCACTTCCAATCAGCTGGCAGACAGTAGTACCACATACTTGGTTTTCAGTCAGTCTGTGGAGTCTATAGTACCATACCATTCCCACAGGCCTGCTAACTTCTTAAAAATGAATGTCAGTACAGTAATATGATCCTGTGAGACAACATCCTGTACAGCTTTTAAAACGTGTGCTTAGTAAATGACAACATTGAAAGTAATTCTTGCTGAATATTTCCAAACTGAATTACATTCCGTGTGAGTATCAGCCTGCAGATTTAGTTCTCAAAGGTCTTCTTGCTACATGGAATTTCACAGCTTATCTAATTGATATTTGTATTTGTAATCTCAGCAAAGAGAGCTAAGACTGCATGTGGCACAAAATTTCAGCTCCTAGTTAAGGCTGAGAATGGTGAAGTAAGGAAGGTTCACAGTGGCATGTCTGTTGTATGTATTTTGCACAAGAAAGGAACTTAGTTACATTAATGTATGCACCAATTCTCAAACTGGCAGAAGCTGACCTTCTGTTTGAAATGCTGTTCTTTTGCATGCCTCCGCCCTGCTTGTGTCAAGTCTGAGGAGCAAGGAAGATGATTATTGAGTCTTTCCCATTGTTCACTTCCAGTATTTTCAGTCATCCTTGGCAGCTCTAGGGATACCATATGTGAAGACGTTCCAAGTAACGAGCTGGTACTCCACTGTCCCATGAAGAGGTGGGAACAAACATGAGCTAGAGTAGGCTTTTCTTGATGCAGAGTGGTAACACACTGGAAGCGTGCATAGCCTGACTTCTGTGCATGTGGGTGGCTGCACTGTAGAGGCTGAACTTTATTGCACTATAATCTCTTAGAGGTTCTTACGATGTCTGGCTCATTTCCAGCCTTCTGTCTGTATATATATGCTGTGATGGAAAAGTGGTTTCTGGGGTTGCTCCATGCATGAGGTAATCTATATGCTATATGGCTTTTGAGTATACTGCTACCTAAAGGACATTCTGTTGGCTGCCAGCGTGAATGCCTGGTAATGTACTTATATAATACTAAGCATGCTTGGGTACTAAGTACCTTGCATGCTTGAAAGAACATTTTTTGCAGCCACAAATACATACTTACGGTATGGAAAATAGGCCAGGCTAGCCTTTGAGGTAGTTTCCAGGACACTCAGCAGACAGGTTGGCTATATTTTCAGGAAGCATTTTATTAATCTCTGTGTTGGCTAATTCCTACAGGCTTTTGTAAAATCTTAAAATGAAGGTTAGTCTCTGCTACATATTTGTGTACTCATTACACGCCATTGCATATGCTGATAAGCCTTGTATAAGTATGGTTTCTTTTCATCAAAATGTTCAGATAGTTAATTTAAAATACTCTTGTTTGTTAAAAGACATACAGTAACCTTTACAAAGTCATAATATTTATTAAGCTTGCCTATAGTAGGCTGGCTGTTATGCTGGCTATCTGACTTTCACCACTGTTGGGAAAATAATGTTTTTATGATAGGAAAATTAGAAAAGTTTGCATTATACTAATAGTCAGCTAGTTATGTAATATAAAGATACTAGGTCAATGCAATTTTTATTTTGTTCCATGAAAATATATGCTAGTAAAAACAAGTGGACATACAGTTGACAATATAATATGATCGGCACTTTGCAGTGTCTTGCAGTTGCACAGCCTTTTTTGAAGTGCAGGTAAATCTCATTGCATAACCATCAGCAATTTCTTCCTGTGTACTGAAGTATCTATACAATTACTTTCAAAGAATTGGTGGCCTACAGAGAGGGACAATTTTGTATTGTAGTACAAGGAAATTACAAGCATCACATGATATTTAAGAAAAAGCAGCAGCACTTACCTTACTGTTTGAGAAACAGTTTAACCAAACAGTTTGAATTGTGGTGCATTTTAGAGCTACGTGTTTACAGTAGAGTAATTTGTACTAATGGGGAAAGAAGGCAATGTATGTTTACTGCTGATACAGTAATAGTCAGTATATTTAGTCCAAATATGACTGCATCAGCAAAAACATTAAAACCTCCTCCTTCACTTTTCTGATTTTGCTCAACATTACAGGAATCATCCCATCGCAGGTAGAACATAAACTGCACTAACAGAAAGTCCATCCAGAGATGGAGGTTGGTGTGGACACCTAATGACTTGCCACACCTTTGAAGGACCAAAATCCAAGAAGAGCATAGGCACTGATTTCCCACTTCCAGCACTTCCTGATAAACTCCTGGCTGTGAAGTGGAGTGCAGGAGTCAGAAACTAGTCCCCCACCTGCTGTTAGTGGCGGGGCTGCCCTAAGCAGGGTGTATGCAATCTTCCTGCAAGCTCCAATCCTATCGCGGGTGAGCAAGCTCTTCTGCTTTAACCAAGGCTATAACACTGTGTCATGGGTTGAGGCTGGGCCGGGCACTAACGACTGACAGACGCTCTCTATTAACCCCTCTCCCCTCCTGGAAGCAGAAGGGAGAGAGACCAAGGGAGAGAGACTTTACGGTTTGGAAAAGAAAACTAAAACAGCTTTAATGAAACAGTAACAACAACAGAAAAGATAAGAATAAGGAAATCATGAAATATATACAATATGTACAAATGTATACAAAACCAATACCGAACCACACCCTCCCCACCCGGATGACGATACATCGCCACCACACTGCAGGGCTGGCACTGGGGCAGTCCCAAGCTGGACTCGGCAGCAGACAGGGATGGGATACAGGAGCTGGACTCAGGCACTGGATTCAGGGATGCACGGATCAGGATCGACGACACAAGAACAGACAGAGTCCTCCTTAGATGTCGACCATTGAAGAAGAGAGGTTGACCTTTGTGATCCCTCAGCTTTACACTGAATATGATGTCTGTGGGGTGGAATACTCTGTTGGTCACGTTTGGGTCACCTGTCCGGTTCGCTCCTCCCTGCAGGTGCAACCTTTTTCGTGCTTGCAACCCTTTTCACTCCCGGCACCCCAACACGCAGTACAAGATTTAGCAGGGACCTTGGTCACTACAAGAACAAGTACAAGCAAGGGCCTCTCTGCATCCCATTCCTTGGTATGAACTATAAACATCAGGCCTTATCACTGCTAGAAGCAGTCACTGCCTGGAAAAACATGCTGTTGTTTTCAGAAAGTGCAGTTACTTAGAAGAGACTTAACTGAAAAGTTAAAGCACTAAAACAGAAATAGTTCTGGTTTCACCCAAACCAGGACACACTAATATGCCTATGTAGTGATACTTAAATGAGGCAGCCTCTAAGGACACTGTCAAAATCAGCTGTTGCATAAAAAAATAGTGCAAATTTAACAGATTTCAGGGTGCCATCTTCAGCTATGTTGCTTAAGAGTAATAGTAGTGCACACAAATTTGATTGTGCTGCTCAGTGTCTGACAGACACTGCCTGTTTCTCTGAGCCATTCAAAGCCAAAAACTGCAGCAGCAACTGCAACAACTCAGTTAACGTCATTGACCAAATCAAGCAATATAGCCTGTCTCAAGATCATAGTGTACCTGGCTAAGAATACAAACAGTATCTTTTGACAACAGAAAATTTTATGGTTCTATCTGTCTTTTTTATCCTGAAAATGCAAAATTATTCCACAAGTCAGTGAGATGGGAGGCATAGAAAATTAAATCTAGTAAGCCAAGTTAAGCTAGAGATACAATTGTTTCTGGAAAAACGAGTTTCAGGCTAGCCCATATGCTATGTGTCAACAGAAGGGCAGAGCAGGTGGACAGAACAAACTGCAAGCAACATAGCTCCAACAGTCCAGAGCTCAGAGTTCTTGTACCCAGGAACTTCTCTGCAGCGGGCTGATCCTGTTTCCAATGAAAGCAATGAGAAGGCCCTATTGATTTTGTAGGTCCTTTATGTAAGGCCCCAAAAGCAAGAGCTGGAACTTCTGCAGCCAGTTGAACTTTACTGGGGAGACAGGCTCACTCACCTGCAGCATCCAGTGTGTCCTGGGATTCCCAAGGTCCTATTAAAAAATAAGGAGTGAAGGTTTGTGTGTTGCTTTCGTTCAGTTTGCTAGAGCAGGAACATTGTGCCCGTTTACTAATAGCTAATACAAGAGGAGTTACTCTCTGAACTGTTGGTCTCTCAAATAGGTTTTTATTCTCTGAAAAGCATGCTCAGGTGGAGGTTGTAGCTTTTCTGGCTCAGGAGAACGATGGATAGATTTCTAACTTCCCACAGTCTAGCTGCAGGTTCAAGGAGGAGTCATTGTCTTTGTTGTCTCGGTTTCCACATAGAAAGCTCTGTAAGTCCGCAATACCTTTTGCACTGTGTTTTCAGAGCTATGTTACACCCTGTACCCTCCACTGATAGGTTCTGTCCAGTGTACTAGGGTTTCCAGTTCATAGCTGTGTTGTGGCATTAGTGGGACACGTAGACTTGTTAGGCTGGGTTGGCACAGAAAAGGCACAAAAAGTAAACAGTCAGTGTTCAGATCTGTAAGTGAGGTGACCGCGTTTACCATCCTTTGTAGGCTTGTGCTTTGGGGAAAAAAGATTTCACTCCTTGGTGTGGTTAATTTGGCACT